AAACAAGCTCACTACAAGGGTGCTCAGTGGGTTTATTTCTGACACACCTGTACGCCCAGTGTATAAGGGTGTATCAAGATGGCTCGTGAAAGCCAACGTTACTTTTAACAATGTTTTAATTGGACTTGGACCTGCAGGCTCTTTAACAATGCTATACAATACCAGGTTTGTTTCATAATGTTCCTGTAAAGTAGATGGAGCGCTATTTTCATTTCATGTGATGAGCTGAGCAAACAACTGGCTTCTGGTTACACAGCCCGTCAGCAACTAAGCAGACAGAAAAATTCCAGGACTGCTGCTCCCCAGCACGTTGGCAAAGTCCATAGCTTGGGACCTTGGGCTTATCTCCGCCAAGTCCCCTCCCCAGGCCACTCCCTGCCCCGACTCCCAGGCCCACCTGTGATGAAAGAGAATGAGCCAAGAGCCCAGGGAGTGGGGAGGGAACAGGCAGGTTGGTGAAGAGGAGAGGAAATGCTCGTCCGCAGCCCGGGAGGCATCGGGAGGCAGCGGACTGTGGGCAGGCTGCTGCCCAGCCGTTCACTGGTCACTGGCCTCTCAGCTGCACCCTGAGGACGAGTGGGCTCCTGACATTCCATCCATCGCCTCCCTGTGGAGCAGCCAGAATGTCATCCAATCCCCTGTAATAAATCTTCTGAGAGACTCAAGGTGTGTTTGCACCCTGGCTGACAGAGTGGTGGCCTGATCACTCTCATCCTGAAGCCCACTCGAACATGGGTACGCTGTGTGGGGACACCCAAACCTTAGAGCAGGGTGGATTGGCACAGAGGAGCCTCTTGGAGTTCCCAGAGGAACACACACCCGCGTCCACTGGTCTGGGAGTGTGTCTGCTCCGTGCCATCTATGGCAGAAGTGAGTTGATCCTAGAGCCAGGCTTGGTCTTTCTAGGGTTCCAGTTCTTCATGCCTCTTGGATATCTGGCCGCTTCTCCGGGGCTTTTGGGGGAGGTGGGGCAACCCTGCAAAGACTGTAAATGGGTCAGAGATTGTATTCAGGGCCCTTCTGTTCCCTCCTGGCACTTTAGATTCCTCAGCCTTGTGGAACCCAGGTGTCCCCTCCCCCTTCTTTCTGCACAGCCACTGTCAACCAGCAGGAGGAGGGTAAGCCAATACTAATTCTCACTCAAGTGTAAAAGACTGGTAAAGACTGTAATAAGTTACACCTCATGACAGAATCCCATTTAACATAGAAGCCACACTCCAAAAGCAGCACCCAGGCTATCATTGCAAGGCTGATAGAATTCATTCATGCATTAGTTCATTCATTCATTGAATTTCATCGTGCCAGCAGCTGAAAACTCCTCCCACCTAGGGGAGGGTGCAGGACATGCCTTGGCTCTATGTGGACATCAGTGCCCATTTCTCCCATCCTCCCCAAGATTTCCCAGAGGTATGGCCATGGGGGCTGGTCCTCTGTCTCCTCCCTGTAAGAGAACCCCACCTAGGTCACTCTCTCAGGGACCAATCAGGCTTCAAGGAGCCCTGAGGGAGGTACATTTTAGGACAACTGCCTGGATTGCTCAGCCCAAGCCATGTCTCATTTAAGAAAATGTTGGCAAGTCTTTAGCTCAACGGTTAAGAGTCTGGCTTTAGAATCTGGAGTCTACCATTCACCATCCTTGGACTTTGGACAACAGACTTGCTCTCCCTAAGCCTCAACTCCCTCCTCCACAAAAGGAGGTGGTGGTGGCCCTGTCACTCCATCCTAGAGCCCTCCCCTGCAGGTTTATGGCGTGAACGCACCGTGACACACACACAAAGCACTGAGGATGGCAGCTCGGCCTCCGCATGGCCCGTGCCGGCTCCCTGGGCAGGGGCAGGTGTGGACGGACATCCAGGCCTACAGACCAGCTGCAGGGGTGGGGGTGCCCTCCAAGCAGGAGTCTGTGGATGTGAGCCCATTAGGAGGTCAGAGAAAGCTTCACCCGCCCAGGAAGTGGGGTTCTGAGGCCAGAGTGAGGGCAATTCAGGCAAAGAGGAGGGAGGCGGGAATAGCATTCAGGGAGAAGGAACAGCATGTGCAGGGTTCCTGAGGCCAGAGGGAGCGGGCAGTGGGCGTGGCTGGAGGGGAAAGAGCTGGAGTGAGGGGGGTTTCATCCTTATTCTAAACCACTGACGGGGTTCTCTCAAGGAGGGGATATGCTCGGACCCCAGACTTTATCACCATTTCCCTTCTCACTCTATGTCTCCTAACCTAAAAGTGCACTAAATCTAAAAGTCCATCTAAAAATCAATCTTCTCTCTATTATTCTTCTTTGGATTGCTATCACTTCTATTATATTGCAACAGGAAGAAATAACATCTTTTATAAAGTTCAATTAGAGGAAGTGGGTTCCAGAACAAACACAATTTCAAAAACCCTGAATTTTGTGTCATTCGAGGGAGATCCGAATGACAAGCTATGAACTCTGCCTGCTAATTTTAAACACGGCCTTCCGGGGCATAACTCCAAAGCTGCGTGGATGGCTGCTTGAGAGACTACAGCAGGGTTTGTGCAGCGAACATCAGTCTGGCTGCGTTTTCGGACTCAACACCGCTGGTCTCAGCGGCGACCTTTGAATCATATTCTGTGGGGAGGGGGATCTATGGCAGAACCGGGGGGGGGGCGGAGGAAGAGAGAATGGGGGGATGGAGGTAGGTGGGCTTTGCACCAAAGTGCTGGGTATGAGGAGCGACCCTGCAGCTGCAGGAAGTGCAGGCACCCTGTTCCTGAGTTGCCAGGATGATAAACCCCCGACAGGAGGCAGGCGTGGTGGGAACACACTGAGGAAGTTGATGCTGCCCTAAGAATCCAGCAAACACCGTTTGAAGAGAACACCCCCTCCCATCCCTAAACCCCAGACCTAACAACCAGGAAACATGCAGGCACTTGGGGAGCCACACTAAGCTCTAGCTTCCAGCTACAAGTGATTCATTCACAAACACCCCAGTCACCGCTGGAAACCACTTTGCTGAACCCGGGGGAGAGAGCCAGGAAGGTGTCGTCCAGAGGGCAAGTGCATCGTAGGCACTTCCGGGATCCTGCAGCCGTGACTCCCGTGTGTTCAGCAAGACCCTGGCCTGGAGGGGTGAAGGTGACCAGGGCCAGAGCCCCAACCCCACGCAGGTCAGGCTGCAAGCTCCCGCACCTCATCCCGCCTGCCACTGCCAGGCAGCAGGCCACGCGCTGCACCACGGAGACGAGGAAATGGGCAGGGTCACATGTGCTACTCCATAGAAAATCGTACCCTCCTGCTGGAACTATGTATCAAGTCTAAACTTAGAGAGAAGATGCCTAAAATGAAGAATCTTATTCTGGGAGAGAGGGAGAGGAGGAGGAGGAGGAGGAGGAGGAAGAGCTGAAGAAGAAGGAGGGGGAGGAGGGGACAGGGGAAGAAGAACAAGGAGGAGGAGGAGGGGGAGAGGAGGTGGTGGTGTGTGTGTTTCAAGACCCCCGTGTGGAAACGGTCCACGTGCTGCTCACTCATCTTCCTCCCCTGCCCAGCTCTCCTCGCTGTGTCAGTGATACTCACTCACATCCTTGTCCTCCTCCCACCTTGGTGGAAAGTGTCCATCGCCTGCGGATTCTCCATTTGCGCGGCTCCCCGCAGCACCGCCCACTGCAGCCGCTCACTGCGCCCCCTCTTCATGGTTCACCATCCAGAACCCAGTGGGAGTTGCAGAGAGTGAACATCGAAGAACGCTTTCCTCCAGGAGCACTTTCTCTCCGCTCACTGGGGTGCCCACGACCTGCCCAGGGCTCACTCTGGCTGCCACAGGTGGAGGCCCCAACCCGAGCCCCTGGCCCTCCCTTATCCACGCTGCTTGGGGGACAGTGAGGGGACGGTGGGGTGAGGCTGACGTTGACCTTGGTCACCTTCCTGTCCTCCCCCCAGAACTGTGATCCTGGCCAGACAGACCAATGGAAGCCACTCATCTGGGAGGTGTGTGCATGTGTTTGTGTGAGAGAGAGAGAGAGCACACTAGCTATAAGCCCATTCCTTACCTTCCTGAGAAACAAGAGGCATGTTTACAGCCCAAATTCCATTCTAGAAAATTTTTGAGAGGTGTGAGTGACTCTGCCCCAGGTAAAAGGCCAAGTCCCTTTACTAGCAAGAGGAGTTGGGGACTCTCCACCCCTCAGCTGGGCCACACTCCAAGGCTTTGGACACATCGCGTGGGTTTGTTGGCCCCAAAAGCCAGCGCACCCCAGCCTCCTGTGCTGCTTCTAGAGGGAAGCCACCTTGCCGCACACCCAGACACAGAAGAGTGTGACCAACGAAAGTCCGGGGAGAGTCTGGTGGAGCCAAAAGGAACAGAGTGAAGCCCCCGGACTGAAGGGGAGGGGCTGGTTCTGTGTCAGAGCCGGTGGGCAAGCCAGTGACCCTAGTGCGCCTCAGTTTCCCCACGTGCAAAAGGAGGGAATCAGCCGAGTCCCACACTCTCAAAGGCACATGAACACACCAGCTCTCCCTGCAACACCCCGTTCGCTGCCTCCCCACCCTGGGAGGGTCGTTCCTGGCCACAGCTATCGCCCAGGGTGACAGCAATCACCCACAGCGAGTGAGCCTTCAGCAGCAGAGCCTCCACGCTCGGGAAGTGCTCCAGGAGAGCAAGGACACATTACCGTTTCTTATTCCCGTGGCCATCGTCAGTGGCGGGGCGGATTTCAGGGCGCTGGAGAAGTGGCCCTTGCCTGGCGGACATCCGTGTCGGGAGACCCCCCCTGGCCGGAGCAGCAGGAGGCCTGCAGCAGGCAGGGAGCCAGCCTGCAGGGGGCGGCGCGGTGCTGCTCCTCCAAGTGGGGCTCCGGCGTAAAATGCGATTCCAGGCCCTGCCCCAGACCCCCGGATGGCCTGGGAGGGTGGGCCCGGGGCATCTGCAATTTACACCACACATGTGTGGGGTGTTCGTGCACATGAAGCGTGGAGAACCCTGAGAGGCTGGGCAGCCATGTTTAATTTATAAAAGGAAACCACCCGAGTCCTTCCAGAGTTGGCCAGCTTTTATTTGAGTGAAGGGTCTGCCCACAGCCCGGAAATGCCCTTGGCGTAGATGGTGCGCCATGTTGATGACCCCTGGGTTTGAGTAAAGGCGTCCACGACCCCCCACAGCAAGCCTGCCTTCTGGGTGGTGTGGTGTCAACGTTCGATTCCTTAGGCAATGACTCGAGTGCGAGTCCGGTGCCTGTTCCCAGCAGGGTCATTTGAGACAGAGTTCCAGTTTCAGGGCAGAAATGCTGCTTTCCTCATCCTGGACCCGTTTATCTCAGGGCAGGAGGCTGAGGGTGCTCTGCATATAAATAAATTAAAATGAAATTCTTGGACAAAGGCCACTAGACTTCCACAAGAGCCCCAAGCAACCCCCTTATCTTCCATAAACTAAATTAGCTCTTAAGGAAGTAACCCCACCAAATAATAAGCTGATTTGTTCAAAGTCCTCCAACTAAGATAAGGCTTCTGAGCCACTGTTGCCCTCCAGATATGAAAGCCAAAGTAAACCCCAAAGAAAGTTAAGTAAGGGATTCTTTAGGTTATCCACAAATTCTCTAGACATTCCCCACGAGTTCGGAAACGATTCATTTGGTTAATGTGTGGATTCTTCATCTAACATCATGGTGAAAATGAGCCCCGTTTGTACCTTTTAAAAGACACAGCCCATGACGTCTACGAGGTTTCCAGGACTGTTCATCAGCCCTGATGCTTCTGCCTTCTCTGCTTCTCCTGGTGTCCTTGGCACAGACGACCCCTGACTTAGTGGTTCCCAAGCCTGGCTGCCCTTGGGGACATTTGAAAGCTGCTGTCACCGATCACTTCTTCCCTGTGGATTAAAGCAGGACTTCAGGGAGTGAGCCCCGAGGAATAGAACGAACCAAGTGAAATCCAGATTGCCCCTAACTCCCTCCCCTGCACCAATAACATTATTGCAGAGGGTTTCCCTCCCCCAGACAACAGTTAATGACATGAACTGGCGCAAGTTACTGATCTGTGTGCTCTTGGTAAAACCTCCTGGTTTGGTTTTCCATCCACCTAAAGCGATTAGGTAGGAGAGTGATTTCAACCCCAGCCAGACATCGGAATGACCAAGGGAGATGAGAAAGAACTGACCCTTGGCTCTGGAATGTGGCCTGGGCACCGGGATTTAAAACGTTCCCTGGGCCTTTGCCGGTGTGGCTCAGTGGCTGGGCCTGGTCCTGCAGGGTGAGGGGTCACCGGTTCCGTTCCTGGTCGGAGCACATGCCTGGGGTGTGGGGTCAGTCCCTGGTCAGTTGGGGAACCTGTGAGGGACAAACCATCACTGTTTCTCTCCCTCTCTTTCTCCCTTCGTTCCACTCTCTCTAAAAGTAAGTAAATAAAATATTTGTAAATAAGTAAATAAATAAACAAAATTCCCCCAGGTGGTTTAGTGAGAGCATCAAGGTTGAGAGCCCCTGTTTTTGTGGTTCTTCCCTCAAAGTCTACGTGACGGTCTTCAGTGTCTTTGAGTCCCAGGAGCTTATCTCGAGTTCGATCTTCGTCAAAGTTTGGCTGTTTACAGAATTCTGGGCTGGAAGATGTTTTCCTCTGCCTTTTGAGAGTTTTCATTCACCACCTTCCGTCAGGGGTTGAGACACCTAATGATTGTTTGTGTAGGTTACCTATCTTTCCTCTCTGGAAGCCTTTAGATTTTCTTTGTTTCAGTGTTCTGCATTTTTATTGACCACCCTGCTGACCGTGGGCTTATTTTTAAGGACCTTGCTTGCTCCTCAGTGTTATCTTTTTATTTGGAAAATCATGTCTCTCTTCAGTTTTGAAAAATCACTAGCTATTATAATTTGGGTATTTCTTCCGTGTTTTCCTACGTTCTCGAACCCTGGAACTCCTGTTAGATGCATGCAGAGGGTCTCATTTTAGTCTCCGTATTATTTAAGTCTCTTTCATTTCATTGTCTCTCTGTTCTGTTAGCATTAATTCTATGGTACAGTCTCCTATTCCTCTAATTTCTCTTTAACTGTGTCCACTTCAGGGCGGTCCTGTTTTTTTAAGTTGTTTATTTCAACATTTACAGTTTTTTTAAATTTCTAGCATTTCCAAGGAGTCCTTTTAAATCTACTTCTTGATTCATAGTTGCTTGAGTTATTGTTCTTCTTCCTATTGCTTGTTTCCGTCGTTATCCTTTTCTCTGTTTCTTTTTGGATAACGCCCAGTAAGCTAAAATCCTTTGTTGATTGCTCTAATATTTAGATTTCCTCAGAAGCCGTCTTCCAATCATTGTACTCAGTGGAAGTGTTTTCAAGGCATTTATTTTTATCCTTTGCTTTGAAATATTACTTTGTAATCTCTTCTGGTTTTGTTTGTTTAGGGTTCCTCTTTCTTCTCTCTTGTGTTATGGTTATGGCCGGTAGGCTCATGGTTAATTAACTCCACCCTCTTCCAAGGTCAAGCAAACAGTGTTTAGGGAAAGCAATCCAGCTTTACGTTCTTGGCAGGGAAACCGTGCCCCTCCCTTCGTTTCCGACACCGAGCTCCAGGCTCCTGCCATACAAGGTGCCCTTGGTGCCTCTTTCCACTTAGGAGTTGGCATTCTGATGGCACTACCAGTGTCTAGGTCTGGACACCCGTGGGCCAGTAGCTTGTGCCCCTTCAAAGAGCTTCTTCCTTCTCTTTCAAGCAGCCCATAACATTACTTTTGTCTTAGAACAGTGAAACCACCTTCAACCAAGAAGATAGCCTACTGAATGGGACAAGATATTCACCAATGATACATCTAAGAAGGGGTTAATATTCAAAATATATAAGAAACTCATACAAATTAACACTCAAACAAACAAACAAAACCGCAAACAATCCAATTAAAAAAATGGGCAGAGGACCTGAAAGGACATTTCCCAAAGAGGACACACAGACGGCCAACGGGCACTTGAAAAGATGGTCCCCATCACTAATCATCAGAGAGATGCAAATCCAACCACAATAAGACATCACTGCACATCTGTCAGATGGCTGTCACCAATAAATCAACAAACAGTAAGTGCTGGGGAGGATGTGGGGAAAGGGGGACCACGGACTGTCGGTGGGAATGCAAACTGGTGCAGCGCTGTGGGAAACAGTACGGAGTTTTCACAAAAATATAAAAAATGGAACTGCCCTGTGAATCAGCAATTCCACTTCTCGGGTATTTATTTAAAGAAAACAAAACCACTAATTAGAAAAGATACATGCCTCCCTACATTTACTGCAGCCTTACAAGTGATAGACAAGATACGGAAGCCACCTAAGTGCCCATCCACAGGTGAGTGGATAAAGGATACGCCGTACTTACACATGGCTTGTGACTCAGCAGTAAAAAGGAGTGAAATCTTCCCATTTGCAACAACATGTGTGGACCTAGAGGTTATTGCACTGAGTGAAATAAGCCAGAGAAGGACAAATACCGTACGATTTCACGTATATGTGGAATCTGAACAAAACGAAGACAGAAACAGACCCACAGATACAGAGAACGAGTAGATGGTTGCCAAAGGGGAGGCGGGGGAGGGTGGGTGAAAAAAAACACCTGAAAGGCTCTAACGATTGCCCCAAAGCATTGTCCCAAATATGCAGGACAAGTTAGTGAGCAGCAGGCAGCCACAGCCTGCTATCTGCATAAGAAGCAGGATCCTGGTGGGACCTAGGTTGTACAGCGGTTATTTTAATGGAGAAGAAAATAAAAACCAAATTCAGAGTGACTTTAAGAGGAGGAACTTGACCTTGTCCTGCAGCTCAGGTCCAGTCATTCTTAGTCTGGTGGCTCTATACAATGTGCTGGAGAGCTTCCTTCCTCCTGATCCGCACCCCCACTACAGTCCCCAGCCTTCCCAGTGCTGTTTAGCCCAGCAGACTGCGCGGATGGGCTTCCAGCTGAATTCGGCCCTTGGAGAACATCCGCAGGAGATCCCAGCTGAGTACGGAGGGAGGCTGGGCATTTATTCTCTCGGCTCTCACTCTGTGGGGACCCCTGGAGCCAGCTGCAGCTCCCACAGATGGGCCCATTGCCTCAGAAGACCCCTCCATGCAGCCCCCTCTGCCTTCAGTTCTGGAAGGCTTCTCTCTCCTTTCAGGACCCTAGGGTGGGGACCAGGATGGAGCCGCTGCCTCCACTGATACCAACCCCAAATGGGCACTGCTCTTATCTCTCCTGTAACTTTTAAAAACAGTTAGCTTATTAAATGCTACCAAGTGATCCCAGTTCTAGTGTGCCGTCTACTGGGACCTTGCCTGATTTAAAGAAAAAATTAACAGTCACCAAAGATCAGAGTGTTTCTCTGTCTCCAGTCTGCCATCCCTAGTGTGAGCTTCCTCCTAAAGGTGGTTCATTGTCAGATGGCTGCCAGCAGTAACTGAGAATTAATGTTAACACGTTCTGAGAGAGAAAGAGGCCATCCATTTGGGAATCTTTTCCAGAAGCCACCAGCCAACCTTCCTTGATAGGTCATTGTCTGTAACCAGTCAGGTGTCCATCTCTGAGACAATTCTTGTCCACCGAGAAAGTGCCACATGTTGATTGGCTTACACTGGGGCATTCTGACCAATTGCTATCAAGGAGACTGGGCTTTCTGTGATTGGCTTAGGTTTTCTAGCTCTGAGAGCCATCCTCCAATCGCTGGGTTGCTATAATGGCTGATAGGAGACCACCACCACTTCTGCTAAGGTTGGAGGGGACAGAGGACGACATGGTAAACCTCTGGGTGTAGTTCCATGACAAATTCCTTTGCCACGTCACCTGGTTGTCTACAGGATTTTTCAGCCCAGAAGACACTTTTTATGTTATGCTAAGTAGGATAAGCTAGTCACAGAAAGACAGACACCAAGGGATTTCACTCATAGGTGGCATCTAATGAACAAAATAAACTGACAAACAAACTAGAAATAGACTCCTAGACACAGAGAACAGACTGTCAGCTGTCAGAGGGGAGGGGCTAATAGGGCTGGGTGAAAAAGGTCAGGGGATTAAGTGAAAAAATAATAAAACCCCAAACACTCATAGATACAGAAAGTATGGTGAGTACCAGCGGGAAAGGAAGCTGGGGAGGTAGAAAGGGCAGGTATGGTGATGGGAGGAGATGACTTGGAGGTGGTGAACACGTAACACAATATACAGATGATAATTATAGAATTGTACACCTGAAACCTTCATAATTTTATTCACCAATGTCACTCCAATAAATCCAATGTGAAAAAATGACACCTTCTATTTGAAAACAAAGGCTCCTAAAATCTTCACAAGTCCCAAAATGCAAGAGTACTACCAAGAGGCGAAAGGCTCTCGGCTTCCATGCCTAAAACAGACCGGATGTCTCTGAGCGTCACCCGGCAGACTGGAGGAGATCTGAGTCTCCCAAGGACGCCCACGCCTGCGGGGTGGGGGGTGGGGCGTAGACCAGGCTGAGGCACAGCCCTGGGACCGGCCCTCGTCCTCCTGCCCTCCACGGGGCAGCCGTTGACCGCTGTCAGAGGCCTGGGGAGTGCTCACGATGGGCCAGATGCAAACAGGGTCGAGTGCCAAGTTCCACAACCTCTCTCCCTTTCTGTGAAACTGGACTTTGAGACTGTTTTTAATCTCAGGAGGTATCATTTAGGTCATTTTCTTCATGAGAAATGAGGAGTTCTTCGAACCACCCCAGGTTATTCCATGTAACCTCGAAAGGGCGATGATGTGTGGAGCCCACGACACCTGCAATGACCCGTCACACCCTTTCCTTCGCTCCGCCTCCCCTTCTCCTGTCGTCAGGAAGATGTACAGCTCACCCACTCCCCGTCAGGAAGATGTACAGCTCACCCGCTCCCCTGGGCGAACGCTGACTCGGAAAGTTGTTGAAGAGGAAGCAAGGGATGATGGCTGTTTGCATGTAAGTGTGTGAGCGTGAGCATGTTTGTGCTATCAGGCTCCAGCATATATACATGTGTCTGTATACATGTGGGTGTGCACATGTGAGATTTGTGGGCGCACACACACATGAGTGTATATACATGTATGTGCAAGAGTGTATGTACATGTGTGTAAGACCATGTGTGTATGTGCGTGCCCACACACAACTAGTCTCTCCACTGTGCTTCTGGGCTCCCAGAAATCAATATTTTTTGATCCCCATACATTTAATTAGAGCCAAGGACAACCTCTGCCAACCGCTACCATTTGCATTCTGCACGGGAAAGTTATCTGGTGACAGCAACGGCAGCAGCAAAAAATGGACAGAGGTGACAGTGAACTCACCCTGGACACGCACATTCCTGGGGAACAGAGTCTGTCACCCTGAAATATGTCTCTTCGGCAGAAGGGCTGTTGTAAACAGGTTGTTTTAAAGAAACAGGACTCAGAAAGAACCTGGGGCCTCCCCTCACTGCCTAAAAGTACTTCGTAGAGGACCTGCCCCAGGAAGGGAGCCACCCTGTGGGTAACTAGTTTAATGTGAACTGTGTGATAGACAAGGGGGGGGACTCCTGGCAAGGCCTGTTTGATCAAAGTCCTCTCTGTGTGCCATTGTTAAGCCGGCCCAGGAAATGTTTGTCAAAGATTTGCTTTTCCATGTAAATGGTCTTCTTCCCCTTTAAAGCCAAACGTGACTACCCCCATTCTCCGCAGACCAGCATAGAAACCTAAACTGCCCAATTTGTCCTCGGGCCCGTGTTCTTCTGGAACCTCTGTATATACATATGGAATTAAACGTAATTATTTTCTTCTGCTAATCTGTCTGATGTCATTTTTTCTTTCTTTTTTTAATCCTCACCCAAGGACATTTCTTCATTGCTTTTTTTTTTTTTAGAAACAGAGAGGAAGGGAGCGAGAGACACACCCATGTGAGAGAGAAGCATCCTGGTTGTCTCCCGTACATGCCCGACTTGGGGATCGATCCCGCAACCTAGGCACATGGCCTGCCAGACTCAAACCTGCTACCTTTCAGCCAGGACCCGACACTCCAACCCATCGAGTCACACCAATCAGGACTGTCTTACGTGATTTTAATTATCCGAGCGGCCAGAAGAACTAGGAGGGGGAAGGGGATGTTTCCCCACCCCCACATCTGGTCGTGCCTCCGTTAGAGAAAAACATCGACCTCTGCACACTGCTCGGTATTACACACAGTGCCCTGTGACAAGTCCAACAGCCAGTCATTTCTGTCTACTTTCCCTGAGAAAACATGCGACGACTTGAACCTGTGTTGTCACGGCCCCAGCGGGCGGCCGTGCCGGGAGCCATCCCTCCAGGCACATGGGGACCGGCTGGGGACCACCCTGAACGCCAGTGAGAAAGGGGGTAGTTGTTAGGAAATGCTACTTCAAAAATTCTACTGATGCATTACTCCTGAAATAACTGGACAACCCAAAACAAACTAAATGGATAACATATAACTAACAGAACAGTCATTCATAAACCGAGAGCATGAAACCAGCAAATGAAAACCACAGCCAACCCCAAACAGCACAAACGGTGCCATGAAATCCAGATCCTCAGGGGTCACCATCACTGCATATATCTCTGAATAAAGTGCCCCCCCAAAAAGCCATCCCCCAGAAAAGATTAGCCTGCCTTCTAACATTTAAGTTCTTGTAAAATTTCTCATATGTTGGGTAGGGCTCTTACACTTGTTTCTTCAGATTAATGTTATTATTGTGAAATATAACACCAGCTGTTTTTGCCCCCTAAAAGTAAGCTTCTTTTTCCTGGAAGCACAGTGGCCTGAAATGACCCCAGTCGGCGCTTGGTTGGGATGCTAAGGGTAGCCACCTGCTTGGCTCACTGGCAGGAGATAAAGAAGAAAAGATATTCGACTTGATTGAATTATTATTCCAGGCTGCTGGATCTCACATTCGGGGGTTAGGGTATTAAAAACAAGGTTTTAAAAAGCCACCTTAAAAGCAATAGGGTGTCTGTGTTATATAAATTTGCCCACAAAAGGAATGCAAAAGACACAATGTTCTCCTGTTATGTAAAGAGATACTTAACAGTCTGGGGTAAAGTTTCCAGTGACAACACCCTGCTTGAGTCGGTTTGCCTGGGCTCGAAGAAACTGGACAAAACCGAAGACCATTAATGGGCTCCGGAGAACTATTAGCCCCAAAGTGGTGGCTGTGGCAGCAAGGGAACAGGATGACAACTGTGGTGGTCGGGTTCAAGTGCAGTGGCTTCACTGGATGGCAATATGGAACCGAGAATTTTTCTATGTGACATTGGATTTTTTCATGTGTGTAGTAAAATTAGTACATTTTATGGCTTTAAGTGCAGATTAGACAGTTTAATCTGAGTCATTAAATCTTTTACAGCTTTTCTTATATGAAAATGCCTTTAGCGGTCTGTGTTCTTGATCTTAGGGGACACGGAGCGTTGTCATGCGTGTCGGCGAGTCGGAGACACTCTGGACTGCGGGTGTTCAAAACGAGCCCCCCCACGTGCCTCAGTGGGGTGCAGATGGTTTTGAGCTAAAAGCAATTTTAGCTTCTGGCTCAAGAGAAACTTCTGCTTCTCCCTTTATTTTTTGGAAAAAATTGAAAACTAAATAGATAATAAAGTCATATAGGTTTTGAGTGTACATGTCTGAGATACAGGATATGTGCATTGCACTGTGGCCCACCACCCAAAGTCCGACCACCTTCTGTCACCCTATATCAGGGCCCCTCCGTCCCCCACCCCGTTGCTGTCTGTGCCCACAAATTTCAGTTTTATATCCCACATTGGAGTGAACTTTTCCTGACTGACTTATCTCACTTAGCATGATATTCTCAAGGTCCATCCCAATGTTGCAAATGGCAGCTTCCCATCTTTTCTCGTGGCTGAGTGGTGTCCCATCGTATGTATGGGCCACATCTTCTTTATCCAGCCCTCGGTCACAGGACACGTGGGTTGTCTCCAGGTCTTGGCCTCTGTGAATCATGCTGCCATGATCATAAGGGTGCCCATATGTTCATAAGTTTGTTTTTTTCTTAAAGAGGGTCCTCAATTGTATCTGCTTCAGGCCCACAGAACACAAGTCCTACCAAACCCAGTCGAGAGGACAAAAAGGCCTGAGCACCAGCTTATCAGCATCAAGTTAAGGAATAGCTCGAGCAGGACTGGTGATCAAAATATTGATGCTGTTTAAGAGAATTTAGACTATTCCAGAATATAACAGACTAGACTCGTGATTTCAATTTAATGTGTTTTTGAGGAATTGATTTAGATCTTGGATATCAAGCTGAAGGAATTTTACTGCCTTTTAAAACAGTATTAAAATCTCTAAGACAGTTTACAAGTCACTGTATTCACAAGGGTAGGTTGTTCAAAATCTCATAGACACTTCAAGAAGTTTAGCTTGTGAGACAATTGAAGTGCTTGAAATAAACCTAAAAATATTTAAAAATAAGTAATGCAATTCAAAATGTTCAAGGACATTTAATAAACAGTTTTTGAAGCCCCCATCCCAAGGGATTATCAATAGTTTCTGTGTGTGTACATAGAATAGACAAATTGATCCTAAGGTCCAAGGATAAAAACAGGTTTTGCAATACGTAACTGTTGATAAATAGTAAATCTTTAACAAAGGTGTTTGCAAATCGCCTTTTCCATGTGCAAAAGACCTTCTCTAGGACACCACGGAATCCAGGCAGAGAAAAACAGCTCTTCCTTCAGCTACCCCTCGAACGGACTTACATCCCTATTTTGAAGCCTACGCCAAATCTTCCGTAAAATCAACTTGCCTGTAGAGAATGCACATCATACAGGTCAGTTTTCTCCTGTGGCTCCCAGCACTGGGGTTCACAGTGGGGTTTTGTCACCCAGCGCCTCTGAGGTGAGCTTCCCCTTCGGAGCCCTCGATTCTGTGGCTGCCTCTCCCTGGCCTGCTTGCTCCCCACTTAGAGCCAGGTCCAACCGGCCTCTGAGGCCCCTGCGCTCACGGGGGAGCAGCTGCCAGCGGCTGTGTTTCTCCCGTTCCCGCTGAAGCTCCCTGAGCCCAGGCCTGCGGGGCTGGTTTCCTGGGGATGTCCCAGGAGGGAGGTCTGTAGATTATTCCAGTCTGCTCCCCAAGCCCCCAGTCTGAGTCTGGCTTCTCATCTCTCTGGATGCCCCAGGGTCTCTGCGACACCCAGGAAGCCACCCCTCGGTCTGCGATGACCTCGGGGCAGGAGCCCTTGTGACGGAGCCTGTGGCACCAGGGCCCACTCTCGCCCACCCTTGTTGTCACACCCTTTTGTTCCACGTCTGCCCCATGAAGGCCTCGGGACTGTCTTCAGCCGCATCTTTCTGTTCTCTCTTTGCACGTGTTGTGGGGCGTCGGTGTGTGTTGCCAGACAATGAAAAATGTCAAGGTACCGCACCTTGTAGCAACCTCTATTTTCCTCTCCATGTTTTCTGCAACATTTGAACTTTTTATTAAGCACCTATCTGCTATTTATTACCAGAAAAAAATTTCAAAACACAGATTGGGAAGGAGGAATGTTGTCAGCTGTCGCCTGACTTGACCCGTAGGGCACAAAGGTCATGATGGTCTCCTGCCACCATCCGTGATGTACCTTTTCTCCTGGGCTCCCACCACCGCCCCTGTCGCAGGCTGTTCAGGCTGCTGTGACCCAGAGCCACAGACCAAGCATCTGAACAACAGAACCGTGTTCTGTTGCAGCCCCGGAGGCTGGGAGTCAGGGACAAAGGTGTCGTCGACAGAGTTGGTTCTCCTGCAACCTCTCTCCTCGTCGGGCCGATGGCCACCTTGTCCCTGTATGGGCCCATGGTCTGTGCATGGGCAACATGGGGGTCTCTCTGTTGCGTCCACCTCTCCTCTTCATATAAGGACACCAGTGGGTAGGATTAGGGCCTGCGGCCCAGAGCTCCCCCCAGCCCCAGACTCTACTGTCCCCTCTTGGGTGTCGGGCATGCACCGCTGATCTAACTTGTCCACACCTGACCTGATGCTGTGCCCCCAGACTTGCCATGTCTCACCTCGGTTGAGGAGAGCTCCATCCTTCTGAATGGTCAGGCCACAGCCTCAGAGCGTAGCCCTGTGTGCTGTTCCTGTGCAGCAATGAGTGGGGCTTTCCTCTCAGTAACCGAGCCAGGCAGCGGGTAAATCAAGGCACAAACACTTGTAATCCTGTAAGGTGCTCGGCAGACTGTGGGTTTCTTCTTGGTCCTGGCTCCTCTGTTTCCTGCAGAAACAAAGCCTGGAAGGGCTTGGTGGGGTCCAGGTGACGCCTTCCCAGCTGGTTCCTGCTGGCCTGGTGGGCGGTGGTGTCCATCCCAGGCACCAGCCCTGCGGGGGCTCCGCGCTCCCCAAGGAGCACAGAACAGGGTTCATTTGCAAGCCAATGCAGTGGCGGCCTTGGAGCCCTGGGAGGGCGCTGCC